CAGTTCAACATTACGTTGGCAAGTCCCCAAATTTGGGGATAAGTTTAAAAAAAACGAAAGAGGTGTGTGAAAAAACGGCCAAAAATGCCTCAAGGCATTTTCGAATTTTGATCACTTGGGGTGATACAGTAGCTTCCGAGACGCCCAAAACCGGTCGTCGTTTTGCTTAGAAAAGCCGGGTTGCGACGTTGCCATTTTTTAAAGTGGAAACCTTTAAAAATTCATACCTCCGCCGCATCTCAACCGATTTCAATGAACTTTTTTTTAAAATGTTCCTCTTAAATAGAGCTTACTAGTGATGTATAGTTTCTTGGGGTTTACTTGGCTTTAAGTGGCACTTACGCGGTTTTAGCAGTTTTTGATAGACACAAAAATTTAGTTTTTATTTTGCCACGATCGTGGAATCGACGGAATCTAAACAAAAACCAGTTTAAATGAAAGTTCAGATTCTCACCTTTCTAACGAGCACAAGATCATCCCGGGGAAACGTTTAGTTCCCGAGATATGACCGCTCAAAGTTGGTCACATGCTCTTTTGCGCAATGTGAATGCGTGTTATCACTAAGTCATTCGCGAACCAGGGGTCCCTTACGTTCAATTTACGTTGAAATAATTACACAGAGCAGTAAGGTGTACAACACGAGCCGTATTTTCACCTTCGGCTGCCGATGTGCGACGTTGCCATTTTTTGAAGTGAAAACTCTTAAAGATGCATTACTCCGCTGCATTTCAACCGATTTTAATGAACTTTTTTTTAAAATGTTCCTCTTAAATAGAGCTATCTAATGACATTTAGGTTTCTGGATTTTATTTAGCTTAGGGAGGCACTTAGGTCGTTTATATGGTTCCTTGCAGAGAATTTTCATACAAAAAATAGTGTTGCTATTTATATTTTTTTTTTTCTCGGCGGATTGTGGGAGGATTTAAAATGGCAAAATTTGAAAGAAAGAACTTTTATAAAAGGGATTCTTTTAATCACTATTCTTACTTGTACAAATATTGAAAGCGACGCTCTCATTGTACAGGAGAAGGTGGTGTTGCTAATTTACCAAGATTTTTACATTATACTTTAAGCGATGGTGATCTTCCGATCTAGTCTGAATGTTAAAAAAAATCGGGGGAAATACAGACCCCCTCCTGAAAAAAAAAGAAAAAAAAATAGCAACACTATTTTTTGTATGAAAAATCTCTGCAAAGAACCATATAAACGACCTAAGTGCCTCCCTAAGCTAAATAAAATCCAGAAACCTAAATGTCATTAGATAGCTCTATTTAAGAGGAACATTTTAAAAAAAAGTTCATTAAAATCGGTTGAAATGCAGCGGAGTAATGCATCTGTAAGAGTTTTCACTTCAAAAAATGGCAACGTCGCACATCGGCAGCCGAAGGTGAAAATACGGCTCGTGTTGTACACCTTACTGCTCTGTGTAATTATTTCAACGTAAATTAAACGTAAGGGACCCCTGGTTCGCGAATGACTTAGTGATAACACGCATTCACATTGTGCAAAAGAGCATGTGACCAACTTTGAGCGGTCATATCTCGGGAACTAAACGTTTCCCCGGGATGATCTTGTGCTCGTTAGAAAGGTGAGAATCTGAACTTTCATTTAAACTGGTTTTTGTTTAGATTCCGTCGATTCCACGATCGTGGCAAAATAAAAACTAAATTTTTGTGTCTATCAAAAACTGCTAAAACCGCGTAAGTGCCACTTAAAGCCAAGTAAACCCCAAGAAACTATACATCACTAGAAAGCTCTATTTAAGAGGAACATTTTAAAAAAAAGTTCATTGAAATCGGTTGAGATGCGGCGGAGATATGAATTTTTAAAGGTTTCCACTTTAAAAAATGGCAACGTCGCAACCCGGCTTTTCTAAGCAAAACGACGACCGGTTTTGGGCGTCTCGGAAGCTACTGTATCACCCCAAGTGATCAAAATTCGAAAATGCCTTGAGGCATTTTTGGCCGTTTTTTCACACACCTCTTTATACGGTCAAATTTAATCGCCTTAAATTTCGTTTTTTTTTTTTAACTTTTCCCGAAATTTGGAGACTTGCCAACGTAATGTTGAACTGATTTTGGCCTTACTGAGATAATGTGGAGGCAAATCTAGGATAAATTGACTTATTTCGCGGGAAAATTGAATGACCTTTGAATTGACAAATTTGGGGGTCCGAGCCCCCAAAATTAATACAACAAAACAATCCGGAACTTCAGCACTTAACCCCTACTCCTTCTGTTGCCGTGCGTTCGCTTGTATACATACAGGGTGATCCAAAAGTCCCTTCCACCCCCTCTAACTTTTTACTTAATTGAGGTAAAGATTTGAAACTTGGGGGATATTCCTAGGTCAAAGGGAGCTCCTTTTTGGCTCCCCTAAAATTTTCAGGGGGGGGCCCCCCTTGGGGGGGGGGGCAACGGCCCCCAACTTTTAATTTTCAAATGGGAAGGCCCCCTTTGTGATAGCTCGTTCGAAAGAGCATAAAAAAGAAAACTTTTCGCGCAAACCCGAAGTCAATATCTCAAACCGTTTCAAAATGGCCGCCGCCTAAAGTTTAAAATGGCCGAAAATTGTCACCTCGGTTTTTTGCTGATGAATTTGCCTAAAACTTTTAATTTGAGAGTATTTTGGCATAAGATAAACAAATTTGAACTTAGATTACTAAAAGAATCAATTATTGGTCATTTTGAACTTTAACCGGCGGCCATTTTGGAAATTTCGGTTTTTTTGGAAAATCTAACGTCAAATTCGTTTTTCTCGTGTCAAAATACCCTTGCATACCGATCTTCTCGCAAATCCATCGACAAATAACCGGTGTGAATTTTCGGCCGTTTTGATCCTTAACCGGCCGCCATTTTGAAACGGTTTGAGATGTTGACTTCGGGTTTGCGCGAAAAGTTTTCTTTTTTTATGCTCTTTCGAACGAGCCATCACAAAGGAGGTCTTCCCATTTAAAAATTAAAAGTTGGGGGCCGTTGCCTCCCCAAGAGGGGCCCCCCTGAAAATTTTAGGGGGGCCAAAAAGTAGCTCCCTTTGACCTAGGAATATCCCCCAAATTTCAAATCTTTACCTCAATTAGGTAAAAAGTTAGAGGGGGTGGAAGGGACTTTTGGATCACCCTGTATACTAAGGGGGTATGCCCCCTGGCCGCTACGCGGCCCAACCCCCTGAAGGCGTTCCGCGCCATCAAGCCGCGTGCATCGCGGCCCTTTTTTGTCGCCGCAGCTGTAATATAATTCATATTTTTATGATAAAATTTATCGAACAAATCTCGTCAAAAGTTTCATAACGGAAGTAGTAAGAGCCTAACAAACTATAGATGCTGTCTAATTTTTCTTTATTTTCTTTTTTCTTTTTCTCAATTTTAATTTTTTTTTAAAATTTTCTTTCGTTTCCGATTTTTATCTTCGCGTCTTTCTCTTACAGCTTCTTTTCAAAGTTGGTTTATTTTTCCCCAAAAAAAAAAATACGGTATATGAGGTGTATTTTCCTTTCTAAAACGAAATAATTTTTGGTTTTGATAAAAAAGAAGAAAAAATTTGGAGTCAACAGGATTCGTTTCGCAAAGATTGAATAATGAATCATTGCAGAAGAACAACGCATGATGATTTTCAGGTCGTAATAAACAAGTAATGATGTCGGCACTCGAACCCACAATACGAAATTACAAGGTGCTGTACGTGACGCCTTAGACGACTCGGCCACCGACCTGCTATAACTGCACTGAGTGAATCTTGGGATGATACAGTAGAGGGATTGCGCAGGCTACACAGCCACTGCGCAACCTTCTGCGTGTAGCCGTAGCACGTGAGGAACATTCTGTATATTCGCTCACTTTCATAACTTGATTGTAAAAAAAAAACCTGGGTCCTATTTCCAAAATCTGATTAGAGCGGGCTCATCTAGGGCTTATCACCTGTCGATAACCGCAAAATCATGGAAATTGGCCTGGTAGAGCGCTCAAACGAACTATGACAAAAAACATAAATTTACATTGTTTACATAGGAAAATTCACAACTTTTCCACGTAATACAAAAAAACGTGGGTCATATTTTGAAAATCTGAATAGAGCGGGCTCATCTACAGACAATTGCCCGTCGATCAACGCAAAAATCATGAAAATCGGCCCGGTAAAATGCTGAAACCAAGCGTTACAAGTTATGCAAAATTAGAAGGTTTCGGAGCTGATATTATAGATTACCTCTAAAGGTTAAGTCGAGGCTTTTTAGGTAGGACGATATATGTATTCACGATTAATTTTAAAGCTGCGCATCGTTGAGATTAAACAATAATAAGCGGTCTGTTCGTCGGTAACACCGTAACTGTCCGCGTCCCGGGGCAGGTAGCGCAGCGCGCAGATCTACCTCAGAACGGCCGGCTCACCGTCCGGCGATGGTTTTTCCCGTTTCGCGCCTTAAATATTGATCCCACAGAAAAATTCATAAAAATCAATTTTGTTCCAAATAAAATTTCCCATCGTCCTGCAGTAAAAATAATACGCTAACATAAACTGTTAAGTAGTTATTCAAAATTCGGGGGCCCCCTCCCTCCCCCCGCGCTCCAGGGGCTCAGATTTTTGGAGTCTATGTCTAAATCGAATATCTCTAGGGTAGAGATGAATCCTTGAAAATTTCATACTGTCTTCCAGAAGTGCACGATTGTTACGCTTATCGGCCCCACTATATTTGGTGCCACAAAGGTGTTAGAGCCTACTCCCCGCACGATGAGAGAAATGCTAATTTCTGATCATCCTTGAAGCCTCACCACTCCATAAGATTTTAATCATGAAGAGCACTCATAATGAGTTGTCTTTCCAAATATAGAATTTTTATATCTGGTAAAGTGTTTGAAGTAAATTTTTACCATAAATACATGCATTCAGATGGCACCACCTATCCAAAATGTATGCCATCAATGAGAAAATAACTCGCAGTATTACTCCTTACTATGGGAAAAAGCCCAACAAATTCAATAACTGAACCGTTTATTTTTTTTCCAGATTTCTCAAGATACCAGCCCTACTAGAGCAAACCCAAGATAACATGTCAAGAGGTATCCTCACTTTCTATTTTTTACGTTCCCTCTAATTTTTCTTTCCATCGCACAAATATTTTATGTAAATCATGCTGAAAGTATGAAAGCATGTTAATAGGTATGGTTGCTGAGTCACTAGGCAGTATTAGCCCTCGAGGGGTGTTTCAATTAAGCTGCTAACAACAGAATATTCCCCAGCGGGCCGATTATTGAAATGTCATCGACTCTATGTTGCCGCGTATGACAAGACATAGCCCTATCTCAACCGTGCAATATATCGCAATTCGATGTCTTATAAGGCTGGTTTAAATTTCAATAATCGGCCCGCAGAAGTTGGAAAGATTCCGAAGAATGTTCTAAAGCCATCACTCCTTCAATCCATTTTTGAGAATATTATGTAAAATGCTCCTGTAGCATTTCCAGACTTTGCTTAGTAGAGAATGGATTAGTGTCACATCAACCGGAATGTTTTAATCATCAGTTAGCCCATTGTTTACCCTTATAATTTATGTTGCACTATGCAATTTTTGGATGTGACAAGTCTCCATTCTTTTCTTTCCTCAGCCCCAGGAATATTCTTTGAATACTTCTATTTTACCCATTTTCAAAAATATTTCGATGGCGACATTCCAGAAATTCGTATCTCGGCGCGCGGCAATCCAAACTTGCCGTCATACTTAGAATTTCCTACATGGAAAACTACTGAACGTCATTTTTTGAAAATTTCAGTGATTTTTTCCCCCCTTTCAAAGAATATTCTGTGAAAACTTCAAGCCATGATGTTGGTTCAGTTTCCTTTTAAAAAATAAAATGGAAGGGGAGATTTCAGAAAGCTGCAACAGAGGCACGCATTTTTGCAGTTTCACTGTAAATTTGCAAGAATGTTCAAAGAACTAAACTTGTGAGATGAAAAGTGTATCTTTGTATACTCTATCCATCTCTTTTCGTCCAATGGTCCTAGATCAGACGATGCGTACTTTGGACCGTCTAATACAGAAAAACATCAATATAAGATCCAGCCAGAAAATACAAAGGTTTTCGTGCGTACCCAATGAAGTTGTAAGATCTACTGGTTTTAACGTTATCTGATAAATGTTCCTAAGAACAGTCAAGACTTAACTTTCTACATTGGTTCCACTACATGTTTCTAAAAATTTGAGGAACATAATCATTATCGATTTTTTTTGGAAACTGTATTTCCATGTCTTCAGGACATTCTCGTTGGTTTCGCGACAGCCTTTAGTCCTTTAAAAAAAATAAAAAGAAAAAAAAAGAAAAAAAAATTCAAGGCTGCCTATCTAAGAAGTTAATTAGAAGAAGTTAAGAAGTTAATTTAGTGAAGTCAGGAAATTGATCCTTAAACTCTTTAAAAGAAGTTGACGTGATGATAAACAGAGCTGTCATAAACCTCTGCAGAAAGGAAGGTCCAAGTGAAAATCCCTAAAATGAGCTTTGTCAAAAGTAGCTCAAATTTTTCTCATGACGGAAGTTGCTGTCTGCTAAGCAGAAGATGAGAGGAGGAAACTGCTTACGTCAGATTTTTCAAATGATCAAATGACCAGCTGATCCTATACCGGAGTAAGAACCAGATTGAAGACTGTCAGATTCTAAACCCTATGGGAGCAGCACGGTGTGCACCCACATGTAAGAATGAGAAACAAAACACGAGAAAGGAGATTCATAAACTTCAATCAAAATCGTGCATAAAGAGCAAGTCCAAACATTGAAAGCTCTTACTCACTTGAGACAGGAAATGGAATTATTCTTTCAAAATGTGCTTCATTTTTTCTTCACCCTTAAGTTGGACAGCTTTATGCAATAAGGAACTAGGGTCAAATTTTCGATTTTTTTTTTTATGATGAATTCCGTATCAGGAGGGTATTTACTTACTATTGAGAAAAAGAAAATCCTCATAAACAATTTTTATCCCGCTTCAGCGACCCCGCAAAAATTTGCCGTCGCAGGATCACGCGAAGTTCATTTTGCAATTGGGACCTATACTATCGTTCCCTATTGCGTAATGCGAAACTCGGATTTCCCATTTTGCAATTCGGAACTATAGACAGGACGGCATAATGCTTTCTCGGCATTCTCGGCTCCTGTTCGATGGATCTTGCTGATTTTTGATACCGGGGGGTATTTATGGACGGGAAACTCGAATTTCTGGTCAAATTTTGAAAATTCAGAAATCCAAGATGGCGGATGTGGCCTAAAATGCTATCTCGGCTCCTGTTCGATGGATCTTGCTGATTTTTCGTAACCGGGGGTAGTTTTCGACGGGAAACTCGAATTTCTGGTCAAATTTTGAAAATTCAAAAATCCAAGATGGCGGATGTGGCCTAAAATGCTATCTCGGCTCCAGTTCGATGGATCTTGCTGATTTTTCGTAACCGGGGGTATTTTTCGAAGGGGAAACTTGAATTTCTGGTCAAATTTTGAAAATCCAAAAATCCAAGATGGCGGATGTGGCCTAAAATGCTATCCCGGCTCTTGTTTGATCGATCTTGCTGATTTTTGGTACCAGGAGGTACCGTAATAGCACACCTAGTCTTAGAGATGTTTTTAAAACGTGTCAATGACACCAAGCCTCATTTCTGAAATGTTTCACGTGATACTTTAAAAACCCGAATGAAGTGTCAAACACGAAGCCACTCTGTGTTCAACACATTCCCATGTCACCACATTTTATGTGTCTGTGAAACATTTGCAGATTGTGTCACCGAAATGTTTCGAATTCATTTTTTACATATTTCAATGACACAATGGGCAAAGGTCTCCGTTGGCAGTGCATTTTTGACACATTTCTGACACATTTGTAAAACAATGAGCTTTTAACTCAGATTTTCCTCTGATTTTCTAGATGTTCATGACACATTTTCGGTATAATCACTACAGTCCATGTAGTGTTAAACACGAGCCCACCCTGTGTTGAATACATCCGCATGTCACTACTTCTTAACCGTAAAAAAATTTTCAGACATCTGTTTTAGCAAACGTCGTGGAGGCATTATAGCTATCAAATCAAGTGCCTGGGCGGCCTGATTACAGACTATTCCTAAGGAGAGTATGGAACTATGGGCTCACTCCATCAGTAGTTAACTATCAGAGGGATTAGGACGTCCTCGCTTTAGAAAAGTATACGCAAAGCATGATGTACGGTTTCAATATTTTAGATAATCCATAACTTACAAGCTCTAATGGAGATAAATGCGATGCATACCAAGAATTTAAAACTATTTTTAACACTGCACAATTAAATAGCCAAAAAGTAAACCTTGAGACAAAAAAATGAACCAAAATTTGGTAAAATTGGAAAATGAAACGTCAACGCTCCCTGGTGGGTTCAGTTTGATCTAAGAAAATTTTTAGAAAGGTCTGAGAAATGTTTTTAACTTGTGCTCACCAGGTTTTAATGACAATTAAGGCACTGTTTTGTTCAACTGATATATTCCTGACACATTTCTGAAATAAATTTTTTTACCCTTATGCGTTTAAATTAATTTTATAAATGGTTATGACGTACGATCTCCGCGGATCAATTAAATGAGAGTGATACGAGTATTTCAACTGGAGAGCAATGAGGGAAATCCGTACACGAAAATCTGAGGGCGTTTCAAATACCATTCCGTCACGTTTCATACATAGATTCAACACATAGCTGTACCTTATCAGATTAAAAATACGAAATATCTGCCAGTTGTTTCTGAAACATGTTTTTGAAGGATCTTGGAAACGTTGCTAAATTGTGTCAGAAATATGTCAGGTTTATTTCTCAGAAACTTCGAACTTCCAAGAATTTCTGCAGCAACGTTTTAAATATGTTTTAGAAATGTTTCCAAAATATTTAGTTGATCTCCTTTCCCAACATATCGTACACAAATCTAATATGAATCTGTGCCTGGGTCGTTAAAAAAGAAATTGACACAGTTACAAATTTTTTCCGATAGATGTCAATAAAGGTTCATTGATTTTCATATAAATTTTGGCAGAATGTTCCGTAAATATGTTTCAATCATAGGCTTAGCTGTGGCAATGGTTTTGAAATGTTTTTGAAACCTTTCTGATATAGTTTATTGAACGGACTGCAATATATTGACAACACATAGCTGACACAATTCTTACACTTTTTTTGGGTGGGTTATTTATGCCTTTTTGAAATAAGTTTCCAACTTATTTTTAAAAAAGTTTGAATGACCGCAATTAGAAACATTTTCGATTTGTTTTCAATACGTTTCAAAGACACGGCCAACTTGCCCATTTCATGTATTCGTTTTGAAAATTTGTTGGAAACATATGTCAATGACTGATCCGAGATTGACATAATTTGAAACATTTTAAAAACATTCCATTGTGTAACTGTGCTTTTAGGGATTTTGGACGGGAAACTTGAATTTCTGGTCGAATTTTGAAAATTTGAAAATCCAAGATGGCGGATGTGGCCTAAAATGCTATCTCGGGCTGCTCGACCTATCGTGGTGAATCTTGGTTGTATAGGGGGTATTTTTGGCCGGGAAACTCAAATTCCTAGCCGAGTTTCGAAAAATTGAAATTTTTCCAATTTTGACATTGAGCTTGTTCAGTGATTTTTGATTTTTGCGTTTTTTGAAGTATTTACTACGCATAAGCTACAATAATTTTCTCCGATATTTTTCGCATTTCAATCCACGAAAAACAAGTTTGAGGTTGCGTCTTCTGAGCTCCCCTTTAAACGTGTGTCCGAGGAATGAAAGATCCCCCAGGGGATACTTACTCAAGTAAAGTCATTTTCGGCCACATCCACCATCTTGGATTTTCGAATTTTCAAAATTCGATCAGAAATTCGAGTTTCCCATCCAAAAATACTACCTGGTACCAAGATTCACCGCGATAGATGGAGCACGAGCCGGGATAGCATTTTAGGCCACATCCGCCATCTTGGATTTTTAAATGTTCAAAATTTGACCAAAAATTCAAGTTTCCCCTTCGAAAAATACCCCCGGTTACGAAAAATCAGCAAGATCCATCGAACTGGAGCCGAGATAGCATTTTAGGCCACATCCGCCATCTTGGATTTTTGAATTTTCAAAATTTGACCAGAAATTCGAGTTTCCCGTCCATAAATACCCCCTGACCCCGAAAATCAGCATGATCGATCGAACAGGAGCCGAGATAGCATTAGAGGCCACATCCTTAATCTTGGATTTTCGAATTTTCAAAATTTCACGATTCACGGGTTTGTTGACGTATTCAAGGGTTTATCGATCAATTCACGGATTTTTCGAAAGAATCACGGGGTTGTCAATCGATTCACGGATTTGCGGATCGATTCGCTGGTTTTTGATCGATTCACGGTCGTCAATCGAATCAGTGTCGATCAAATCACGTCAATCGGTTCATGTTCTAACTTTTCGATCAATTCATGTCGGTCATGTCGGAATCATAACATCGGTTTTTAAATAATTTGTTGATCAAGTCGAAGCCGATCGATTCATGCTTTCATTTTTTGATCGATTCATGTCAATCAAATCTATAAACCCTCCCGTCCAAATTGCATGTTAATATTTGCCACCATTCTCGAAATATTAGCAAGTCGGTAGGTATCCATATTTTTGGCACACCCTGTTTTTTGTAGAATATCTTTCCGCAGGGACAATGCACCTCCCCCCTTCCTCGTATGATGGAAGGAAGGGGTGTTTTCTCTGTTGGGGTTAACCCTCCAGTTTGTAATAGTGACACCAGGGTCGTCTCTCTTATGCAGTCAGTGCTAAAACAATCTATAGTTCCTAATTGCAAAATGAGCTTCCCCGGATTCTTCATTTTGCAATAAGGAACTATAGCCTTTTTTGTAATTATTGGCAACAGTGTGATGTTTTTGACGAATCTGTCAACACAGGGTGTTAACGGAACTCCATAGCTATAAAATGAACCATCAAACCGCAACATTGATCGTTTTGATGAAAAACGCCAATGGTTTTTGCAAAAGTTGCTCTCCTGAAAACCTACCGTTCTGCCTATAGTTCCGAATTGCAAAATGCTATCCAGTTAGTACTTTAACTTCTTGCACTGTTGTCCTTTCTGACAAGCATATTAATATGCGCGCTGGCCATTACTTTAAGTTCATCATCAATTAACTTCGCTTGTTGGTCCTCTCTTTTCAACAGTCTTAACTGATGAAAGTGGAATAAAGAGGAAAGTCAAATATCTGGGAAGCACTACACATGCGCAAAAAGCTAATTACGCTGAGCGAAATAAAGAATGAAAATTTAGTGGCTGTAAACCCTCCTC